AGAGCTGTTTCATTTGTTCTTCCCACCGCCTCAGTGCCTACCTGAGGATTTCGGCAGCCGGCAGAGCCTGGCCGGTGGCTGCTGTGGGTGCAGCCTGGTGGAAGCAGGCAGCAGTCGCTCAATCTATCGGCTCTGCTGCCTCATCTGTGGCTCAGTTGCATTTGCTGGAGGAAAAGACAATAAAGTCTTTCAGGGCAGAAGTCTTTATTTACTGCTTACCTCGATTTGCCTGAATTCCCCTCTTCCTCACGCCCTTTGTTGCTTTAGTCCTTCCTTTCCATGACTGCCTTTGCTGCCAAGGGCTTTTCTGCTCCCTGCTTTTCCCTGTTCTTGCATGTGTGAATGCAAACAGCGTTGACGTGTCACAGCCCAAAGAGAGCTCCCCACGCACCTCAGGCTCCTAGTAAAACCAGTGTACCCAGAACAGAGGGCACATGGGGCCCCCAGCCCCTTTTTTCCGAGTCATTAGCTACAGCCTTTCTTAATACCCATGGTGTTCGTCTCCATTCGTCCACTTGTGAGTTAGGAGGTTATCAGTGATTTGTGATAGCACAGCACGCAGAGCGAGCTGATGCTACAAGGAAGGTTGTTTGTGTAGCTGCGGCTCTGCTGTCTTGGATGTGTCTGTACAAATATAACGGCGTTGCAGTTCCCAAGAACAACAGCTCATGTTCCTGGGGCGCAGCTCAGAGGATGAGCTGGCCACGCCGCTCATGAAAAGCACTCGGCTCGATCTGCTTCAAAGACGACTTTAGCAAGGCTAAGGTGGATGGGGAGAAGGTGGACCTTGATGCTGGAAAATTGCACTGCAGTGAGCAAAGTCCTGATGCTCTGAAAGCGTTCAGGAGTTTGGCTGTTGCCTTATTTTGGAAGAAAATACACCCTGGGACTCTGGGGTCACTTCTAACCCGCTGTCCATGTCAGGCAGCAGGTTGCTACTGCAAAGCCACCCTCCATCTGTCCCTGACACAGCAACACCACCGGGCATCAACATGATTTCCCGTAGAGGCTCAGAAGCCAACTTGGCAGCCCAGACCATATCGCATCTCTTGTCCCAGGGGCTAATGACTGTCCCAAGCTGCAGCACTGCGTGGCAGCAAACAGGGCATGGGGAGAGGGGAAAACAGAATAAAAGAGAGGCCGCTGGGTTTGTTTAGGGAAAGGAATTTGGAGCAGGAGCTAGGAAGGACATCTGGGAGCCAGATTCTTCTCTTTGAGCCCATTGCAAGGAGCTGGCTTGCACAAATGAGAAGCGTTCTTGTTTCTCTGCTGTAAGCCTGCAAATTGTGGTAAGAGGAGGTGACCGAGGTTGTAGGAAAAGGTAGCATCTAGGGAAATCATTGTGCTTTTCACGTCTTTTAGCTTGATGAATAGTCTTACAGCCTTTTTAGCACAGTAAGGCAAACTTTCAGGACCTGTGTGTTCTGTAATGAACGTCTAGCCCTTGGGCTGGTGCGGGGGGACCTGTGGCACTGACTGGTGTTGGATGGTAGGAATAGCAAAATTAAAGCCAATTTTTATCGGAACAGAGTGGGTTGACAGGGCTCAGGAGTGAATTACCATCACAGCTGCTCTGAGCTGCACACCAGGAATTCAGAGGCAGACAAACAAGCCAAGCAGTGAAGCTCTCTGCTGTTTTTCTCTCTTTTCCCTCGCAGCAGGGACTGAGCCAGGGGATAGGAGTGTAGGCGTTGCAGAAGTTCACGTGAGTGTATATTCTCTGGCATGAGTAATTTGCTGGACTGGGTTGGCTTATGTTTGCTTTTTGTCGAACTCACGTTGGCTGCGCCAAAGATAGCATCCTTTTTCTTTTAAAACCCGTTTTTCCATATTCTGCTGGCTGAACAGGAGGGTGTGCAAGTGACATGTCTGCAACAACGCCGTAAATCCAGACAGAAATAGAATTAGCAGTTCTTTCTGGTTCCAGTGTTTGTATCTGCGAGGTCGTGGGCTTAACCAGTCTGGGTTCCTCGGAGCAGAGCCGCGTCTGTGCGAACCTGTTGTGCCTTGGGACCTGGCGCTTGGGTTTGGTTCCAGAGCAATATCATAAAACTTTTACAGCAACGTCATGACAAAGAGCATGAGAAGAGAAATAATTTAACCCTCTCTTGCTAAAGTCAATGTTGCAAATTCTTCCCCTGTTTCCACATGCAGCAAATCCCTCGGTTGCATCTAGAGCGCTGTGGGGAGAAAAATGCGCGGTTTGCGGAGATGGGGAAGAGAGAGCGAGCAGAAACCTGTCTTTGCGAGGATTATAATTTCTTAAGTGTACTTAAAGTCCAGTCCTGTCCCAATAGGCCCTTACACACATCGGTAGCATTATTCGTTGGCACAGTCATACTGCATTGTGCTCCAGCATTTGTAGAATTGGGCTCTTAATCTATGTTGATTATGTTTTAATTGAATAAATAAATCTTTTACAGAGCTCAGAATCAATAGAGAAGTTTCCATGCTATTTTATTTTATTTTTCTAGGTTTCCTAAGGACATTTAACTTTTACAACCTTACAACTTGTTCTGCAGCATTTGCTAGTTAGCTATTGCGTAATTGTTCTGGGGAATGAGAACCTGGGAATAACATGGCCCAGAAATGCTAAGAAGCAGAAATGAAATCGGCTGATCCTTCTCGTCTGTCGCCATCCCTCCTCTCCAGGGTCAGGGTACCAAACAGGCCATGTGTGGGCTCCAGTTTTATTCCTGGGTCTGCCATTGACTTGATTTATCGCCTCAAATGTTGGGGCCTTGGGTGCCCTTCGCATCTCCCCGCCTTTCCTTTTCTGTAGCTGGCTTTTGGCTGCTTAGCTTAAAAATTCTCTGGAGTGGAGCAATCACAGTTTTTGTGTCTGGGAAGCCTGTGGCTGCCCTGTAGTTATAGGCCAACAACTGGAGGATGGAGAAAAACCAAACAAGAGCCATGAATTGCACTAATAGCGGAAAGGAAATTGTACTTTTGCAGATTTAGAAATCCAGGTGCCTACAGCTAGCCAGGAGTAACGGTCTGGGGTAATTTCTGTGAAAAGTATTTCTTTTTTTGAACAATAGTTTGGATGGAAAAACTTTGGCTCGATAATAAAAATGAGCAAGAAGAATTGAGTTTGTAAGTAGTTTCTAACCTGACTCTTAGCCTTTTAAATGACGTTTTCTTGCATAAAGCACGTTGGAACTTCCATTTTCGTGTTAGTCAAGCCAAATTTATTGTAATCCAATAAGATTTAATAATCATTAGGAACTAATGAATGCCTCAGCACGTATAAGCTTGGCAGATCAGAGCCTGCTTGCTTTGCATAGTCTGTCTCTCTTTGACCAACTTGCCATTTATGTGTGGGATTGATGACTGGGGAGTTCTGTAAAACAGGTAATGATCGAATGCTCCTGAAATGAAATTTAAATAAAAACTGTCTGGAACAGCCAGTGAGCCAAAGGAAAAGGCAAATTTTTGGCTTGAAAAATCGAAGTAACTTGGTGTGAGTGAAGGCAAACAGAGCTGGATTGTCTATGGGGAGGTGCTGGTATGGTCTGAACAGGCTTTACAGTTGAAATTAGGTGAGTTGTTAGGTAATTCTTTAGTATTTTTATTATTGTACTAGTCAAGCTGCAAACGAGCTCTTCTGCACTGAGCTCTGTAGCTGCATGTACACGGAGGGACTCTGTCTGGGGGATCTGCAGATAAGTCAGTCATGGAAGGACAGAAGAAAAATATTGATTATGACTCAGGTTGAGAAAAGACTTTCAATGTGTAATATTTCACTTGACTCAAGAACTTTGGTTTCTGCACAGGCCCTCAATGCGGGCTGGCTCAGCAGGGCTACCTCCTGGCACCTACGTTTGCACCTGATGGGGATCCTTACCTGGTTTTCTTGGACTTCTCATTCCTGACGGACCTGCCTAATTTCTAAAGCACTGAAAACACTGAGGGGGGAGATGTTTCCTAGCATCTACCTGCCTTTGTGCACTGGTGGGAGGTACCGCTGTTGGGTTGGGCTGTACAGCACAGGAGGTCCTTCCCAGAGGTTTTGGACTAGGCTGATTTTTCAAAAAGCAAGCGTGTGAATGAGTCCTCTTTTAAACTGCTTATTCTAGCAGGGATTGTGGTGCAGCCCTTGAACAGTGCCTTGGGGATCACATACTCTCCTGCTGTGCCAAGACCTGGGTTTTACTTTTGGAGGTGGGTGGTGGTGGTGAAAATTCATGTCTCCTCCCTTCCAAGTGAGCGTCCCTACCAGCCTGGGTATAAGCGGGGCTGGGTTGTTACGAAAGCAGAGAGAAAGCAAGATGTATTGAATAAGAAAGGGTCCTGGCTGTAGGCTGGTATTTGCTCTGGGCATGGGCTTTCCTGAGTAATAGCCCTTTTCACAAGGACCTTATTTATGTTATTTTGTGACCGCTTACTGCAAATCACACAAGTTCACCTTGAATCAGCTAGAAAAGAATTTAACTTTTTCACTTCTCCTTGAAGGAGCTCATTTTTCAGATGGAAGTTGTGAAAACGTGTTGAATCGGACAGGTACAGCTGCCACAAATTGATTTAAAATAATAATAGGTGCAGGTGGCCGGTCGCTGCTCTGTTTGTGGTTTGCCTGGGATGGGGATGTGGCAGAAGAGATGCTCTCAGGATCCAGGTCCTCCAAGCCTGTCCCCAGGCCTGGCTGCCCAGCCAGGCATCCTTCTCTAAGATACATCTTCTCCATCTGCGGCAGCGGGGATTGTCCTGCCTTCTCACCTCGGCAACAGATCGCGCACCGAGTTGCGCAATCCTCCAAGTCAATTTAACACAATAGGACCATTGTGGGAAATACACAAAGAAAAACCCCAGAGCAGCCCAAATCCTTGTGAGATGGAGGCTGGCTGCTGGTTCTGGGAGAGAGCTATAGCATTTCAGCATGTTTGTCCCTGCAACCCGAGAGTTATTGCTGGGCATGGTAGCAGCTCTATGAGGACAGTAAGAAACCATGTGCCAGGCCAAGTGGTTTGAATAACTGGAACTCTTCTTTCTTCTTTAAGGTGAATCCTGGTGGCAAGACGCTTGAGGAGAGGCGGTCCAGTTTAGATGCGGAAATCGACTCTCTGACCAGCATCCTGGCCGACCTAGAGAGCAGCTCTCCTTACAAACCTCGGACTCAACAGGTTAGTGGCACATTGTGTAAACAGCGAGTGGGAAAGTGGCCAGCATCGACTGCTGGAGTCAATTTGCTAACCGCTTGGTATTTGTTGCGAGCAGGCATGCCAGTTCCTCCTGATAGCATCCAGATGTGGCTGTCAATGGGGAGAAGGGCGCAGCAGCTCTGAAGGGGGCACCGGCTCAAAAGCTGCCGTACCTCTGAGTGAAGGGCCTCTGATCCCGATTGTTAGATTGCCACAGAGATTGTTAGAAAAATACTTGCAAAAAATGGTATTTCATTCGCCTCAACTTTCCACCAACAACAGCTTGTGAATTGAAACCTGCTCAGTTCACCACTACTTTTACGCTTTTATTTTCTCGTTGTTTTTCGGTTTTGTTAACTTTTTTCTGTCACGCTGCCAGACGGATCCAGATATCCGCGTCTCAAGTTGTTTTCTTTTGTTTTTGTTGTCTAATCAGTGGCGACGAAGTGGCTTGGATCGTAGCTCAGCTGTCAGGGTGGCTGTAGCCCAGCAAGGCAGACTGGAATTCGCACTTACTCTGCTGTGTCTAGACGAGGACTGCAGGGGTGACAGCAGCTCAGCTAATTTTTGTCACTCATCTAGGTAGTACTTGAGTGGAGCTATTTAAGTTCTGGTAAGATGTCATCTATTTATCAGAGGAAGTGGTGACACCCCAGTGGCACTTTAAAAAGGGCAGTTCTTGAGATCTCTAAAATCATCCCAGATGTGTTTGTGCCCAGTTGTGCAGCGCCTTTGCTTCCTAATCTCATGACTGGTCTCATTTCTTATACATACAGGGGTCTGTAGACATGTATGCAGCTGTATGTATATGTTGTGTTTGTCTTACCAATGTCAGTCCTAAATAAAACCCCAAAAGTCAAAAGAACCAAAGGCAAAGTTGGGTGATGTGGTGCACACCCATTAACCTTATAGGCCATCTCTTTAGTTTGGGGCTTTTTTGGTTCTTTTCATTGTTGCTTTTCTTTTAAGTAATTGAGAATCGATACCTTTGGAGCAGAACTAAAGTAGTGATCAGGGTTCATTTAGATTTGCTCTTGTTTGAGTATGTGAACTTAGCACAAGCAGAGTTAAATCAGATTTGTGCACTTTTTAAAGCATCTCTCTGCACACAGAAGCTCTGACGTGGTGACCTGTGTAGTTTCTGTCCCTTCTGCAGGGACTTCTCAATAAACTCTTCTTTCATTCTAGCAGCATGTACACAGTTATTGCATAAACTCACTGACTTATCCTGGAAAAACAGTCTGATTTGGGTTAGTCAGTCAAAAAGAGCAGCAACGTAAACCAGATACAATTTGTTCCTTTTCCCAATGGGTTTTTGTTGTTGTGATAAAAGAGACCAGTTTTAACCGTGATAGTGGTCAGGCGCTGTGTTGAATAACCCGTGCCTATTTTGTTTGCGTGGGCCAAACACATACGAATACACACTGTTACTGGGAAATGCTTTGTAGTGTCAAAACACTGCAAGAGTTAACTGGGAGAGATTTGTACTCCCCATTTTCCTTGGCAATGCCTGTGGTCAGCTCCAGCATCTTCATAGAGAGATATAACTCCTGTAACCACTTTGCTGAGCATTTGCAGTTTGCTGACAGTACTGCTGACTGTCCCTGATACTTCTTCCTTTGGGATCTGGCATTCTCTGAATAGATTGATTTTTCACTTTTATTTTGTACCTATAGCGTTAATAAATATATAAATCACAGTGGTCAAATGCAAAGTTCTGCGGGTGTATTTGAGTTTCTGGAGCGTCAGAAGGCAAAGCCCAAATTTTGGACTTGATCTGACTTCTTCAGTTTGTCAGCCTCCAAGATGACGTGTGCTCCTTGGTGCACGTACTTGTTCCTGGGGCTTTTTGCCCACAGTTCGGGTGGGGCTCTGAAGACTTGTCCCCTGTACGCAGGAGTGATGGGATGCTGCTGCTCCCTGGTGCGTTACAATAACCGTGTGCGATCCAGTGGGCAGAAGAAGCTGAATTTCATCTCTGGGACCAAATCCCAACTTTCTTTGTTCAGTTTATCAGATGTTTCAGGACTTAGTGGTTAATGTCAGGATGTCCCATGAAAAGCACAGCTACAACAACTTCTACCTATGTCTGTTAGAAAAAGAAAATGCCGGAGTTTAATGTATCATCTGCTGTAATTAAAGAGTACTCAAACAAGTCCTTGAAAGGTGGAACTAGAACGTAAAGCTTTGATATTTTCCTTTGTTTGATCTGTACTATGTATTAAAACTGGTGAGTCATTTGATGGTCTTATAGTAGGATAATAGATTAGGCTGCAAATTGTGAGGTACTTACTCAGAACATCAGCACGTTTATTGGATTACACCTTAGCTGACCTTCCCAAATTTATCAGGATAATGGCTGCAGATAGGAAAATAGAGTTACGATTTGTTTTCAGAGAAGACGTTTCCAGTTGTGCTTATGCGGTTAAAGCATTATAATAATTTTACAGGTATGCCTTGCCCTTGGGGATACTCCTATTCTGGAGTAAGAAAAATTTTATTGTTAGGTTTCTTTTTTATTTTATCTTCAGAATAGTTTTAAAGCAACATAAACTAAACTGTAAAATAGTCCCCTCTCACTGGAGTAGGAGTGATAGCAGGATAATGACAAGCAGTTTATTTAACATACCCGACCCATTGGCATACTCACACAGAGGGAGGTACGAGTTCAAGATTGCAGTGGGACACACAGCCCCGGGAGGTGCCTCTGAAGCAGAAGGATTTGTACCCTCTGCAGTAGGTTTGAAAAGTCCACGATACTTGTCAGAACGTGTGGGTCAATCTCAGCCCTGGACAATTGCCCTTGGCCAGCAGACCCGCTGTTGAGGACATGGATGAGTATCGTTCTCTGCACCATCCCTGAATGGTTTACCTGGGCATTCTTTTGTGTACCAGGCAAGTGACAAGGACATTGCCATGAGCTAAAATTGATCAGTGCTAATAGAGGGCAGGGAGAGAGTTTTGAGACCTTGTGCCCAGTGGTCCTGCCTAATTCAAGGCAGCTGAGCTGGAAAGTGAAGGTGGAGTAATCACCCAGGTCCTGTTGGCTACTTCCCATGCCTCGGGCAGAGGTGGTAGGATGATGTTGTCCTGCAGAGCTGTGTTGCCCTCTCCTCTGCAGTGGTAAGTTTGAAAAGCATTTTCTCAACATAGATCCTTTACGGAGCAGAAAAGATCTTTTCTCCCCACAGCAGCAGGTTTGGTGGGAGGAAGTCCTGCGAGTCTGGTACCCCACTGTGAGTCAGCGCCGATGTTGACGAACCTCAAAGTGAATCTTCTGTGAGTCTGGTACCCCACTGTGAGTCAACGCCGATGTTGACGAACCTCAAAGTGAAAGATTCTCTCAGGCTTCATTTCTGGTTAGTTCTTGTCTCTGTCTTGAGGCAGTTGTTGAGAGAGACCCAAGCAGCAGAGGTTTTCTAGGCATTGATAGTTTACTTCATATTGGCCATCAGCAACGTGCGGGTGAGAAGCAGCTTTCGATCACCATCACCTCAGCCTGGGGCTGAGCCCATGACTTACAAGTGAAAGTCTCTCTGACTGAGTCACAGAAGCAGTCAAAAGTGATTAAAATGCTAGATTTTTTTTCTTTCAAAATTGCACATATCAGAAAGAGCAGAAAATTACAAGACTAAATCATTATCTTTAGCTGCAATACAGCAGTGTTTAAAGATGCTCTCTGTCATGTAATCTGGTGTAAGAGAGACCGTATTTCAAGAATTTAGCTGGAGACGGGAGTTTTAGAAAGGACCAAACATCACCTGAGCTTGAGAGGTTTCTGTGTGACCTTCACTGGCACGGCCAGTTCCAGCCTTCTGGTGCAGTGAATTGAAATGGAGGAAGAGACCAACATGATCTTAAAATTACCATGACCGCAATGGCACGTTAATAGATGAGCTTGCCTTAGGTATTGTTTGAAGAACTGCAGATGCATTATAAAAAAATCTAATTCATATTTTCCTCCTGTTTGGTAAAGTTTTGAAATGCTGGTGGGATGAGTGAAGTACAGAGCCCCTCTTGTGTAGCTGCCATGTGTTTTCTGTTTACGTATCACACCTTCTAAATTGCAGTAACCCATTGGAAAGCTCAGAGGCAGAGAAGCCACTATGCCTTTCAGTAGTAAAAGGAGGTTATATAGGCAAGGTATTTAGGTGCGTAACTTCCATGGATGGGAGCGGGGGCTATTCCTAAATTGGGTGAACCCTGATTAGGGGGCCTGGTGCATCCTGTGATTTTCTGACTCCTCTATTAAAGGGTATGTTCCCCAATTTTTACCTTTTCTGCTTAAATCCTTGCTTAAGGCTTTGTTGCACTCGTCTTTTAAGCAAAAAAAAAAAAAAACCCAACAAACATGCCAAATTTCAGCCGCTTAAATAAATGCTTGCGTTTTTTAAAAACAAGAAAACTTTGTGACTCTGGAAGGAGGGCTTCCAGCAGAGGCTGTGAAAATGAAATACTGGAAATAGCAGCATACAAAAGCTCAGGATTTTTTGTCCCTGCTGTGAATTATGTATTGAAAGCTGATTGCTTTGTCCAGAATTGGACACCTACCTTCTGAAACTCTTGAGTTTTATCCCAAATTTCCACCAAATTGTCTGTCAAAATAGGACTTTGTGGGAGGTGTACTGGGTAGTAAGATGTACCTGGTCCAAAGCTAATTAGCCTTTTTTAAAAAGCAAATACTGGGTGGCCAAAATTTAAAGAGTATTTAAATAGCAAAAATCCCCATGCCTTGATGGTCAAGATCGAATCTACTTGTCTACAGCTCTCAGAGGCAGCTTGATCCAGAGGGGACTGGGTTGGTACTCTGGAGACCCGCTTCATTCCCAGCTACTACCGTGCTAAATGACCTTGAACGTAGTGTTTCCACTCTGCTTCCTCTCAAAATCTCTTCTGTCCTTTTAGCTTGGCCACCTCTTCAATGTGATGTGCCTCTTACCATGTGTATGGCATCGAGCAGATTGAAACCTTGGTCTGGGTTG